ATGTTTGTATGTTTTTTTGGCTTTACTTGAATTTGTTATCACGACCCCGAACCCGACGCGAACGTTTACCCTTACCCTTACCCATTCATTCTTGGTGGACACGAAGGTGAAGTGTGACCCTAGTAGTAGTAGTAGTAGTAGTAGTAGTAGTAGTAGTAGTAGCAGTAGCAGTAGCAGTAGTAGTAGTAGTAGTAGTAGTAGTAGTAGTAGTAGTAGTAGTAGTAGTAGTAATAGTGGTAGTAGTATTATTAGTAGTAGTAGGAGGTAGTAGTAGTAGTAGTAGTAGTAGTAGTAGTAGTCGTAGTAGTAGTAGTAGTAGTCGTAGTAGTAGTAGTAGTAGTAGTAGTAGTAGTAGTAGTAGTAGTAGTAGTAGTAGTAGTAGTAGTAGTAGTAGAGTAGTAGTAGTAGTAGTAGTAGTAGTAGTAGTAGTAGTAGTAGTAGTAGTAGCAGTAGTAGTAGTCGCCGTCGTCGTCGTCGTTGTAGTGTCGTAGTAGTAGTAGTAGTACTTGTAGTAATCGTTGTAGTAGTAGTAGTAGTAGAAGTAGTAGTAGTAGTAGTAGTAGTAGTAGTGGTAGTGGTAGTGGTGGTAGTAGTAGTAGTAATAATAGTAGCAGTAGTAGTAGTAGTAGTAGTAGTACTACAACTAGAACTACTACTACTACTACTACTACTACTACTACTACTACAGCTACTACTTCTACTACTTTCACTACTACTATACTACTACTACTACTAACTACTACTACTACTACTACTACTACTACTAGTACAGACGGTAGCACAGTAGTAGTAGTAGTAGTAGTAGTAGTAGTAGTAGTAGTAGTAGTAGTAGGTAGTAGTAGTAGTAGTAGTAGTAGTAGCGTAGTAGTAGTAGTAGTAGTAGTAGTAGTAGTAGTAGTAGTAGTAGTAGTAGTAGTAGTAGTAGTAGTAGTAGTAGTAGTAGTAGTAGTAGTAGTAGTAGTAGTAGTAGTACTACTACTACTACTACTACTACTACTACTGCTGCTACTACTACTACTACTACTAGTTGTGGCTGTAGCAGTTGTAGTTGTAGCGGTAGTCGTAGTAGTGGTAGTCGTCGTCGTCGTTGTCGTCGTCGTAGCAAATTCTGCCACGAGCCCGCCGCAGGCGCCGTGTTGCGGGTGGGTTGCGGGTGGGTCGCGGTTGGGTCGCGGTTGGGTCGCGCGCTGGGTCGTGGGTGGGTCGACGAGAACAAGCAATAGACAACACAGCAGACAGCAACCACCACAACAAGAGCAATCACATAAGCAACAAGAGCAGTTATCCCGGCAAAGCAACCTAACAGCGATGTGTAGAAGCATATCTGGAAGCATTGCCCTTGATATTCATGTAGGAGTCCTGGTGTAGAATTTGGGTGTCCTCGCAGTCGCTGGTCCTCCTGCTCGTCCTCGCATGTAGGAGTCCTTGTCCTTCTCCTCCTCCTGCTCGTCCTCCTTCTCCTGCTCCTCCTCCTCGTCTTGCTCGTCCTCGTCCTCCTCGTCTTGCTCGTCCTCCTCCTCCTCCTCGTGCTCTTGCCCCTGCTCCTCGACAGTTGGCTCTGGGCATTGAAAATGTGGTCCGGGAATGGAATTCTGGGAACTCGGAGAGCACGAAGTGGCCTACAGTTGGCTCCGGGCATTCAAAATGTGGCCTGGGAATGGAGTTCTGGGAACTCGAAGAGCACGAAGTGGCCTACAGGTGGCTCCGGGCATTCAAAATGTGGCCCGGGAATGGAGTTCTGGGAATTCGAAGCGCACGAAGTGGCTTACGGTTGGCTCCGGGCATTCAAAATGTAGCCCGGGAATGGAGTTCTGGGAACTCGAAGAGCACGAAGTGGCTTACAGTTGGCTTCGGGCATTCAGAATGTGGCCCGGGAATGAAGTTCTGGGACCTCGAATAAGACCACGAAATGTGCAATTGTTTGCTTAGAACGACTTCGCGGATTCCGTCCTGATCCTGCCCGGACCCCCCTAGGGAGTCATGGTGCTTTCTTTTGAGACCATTAGAAACCTATCAGTCTTCGCTGTTAGGTAAAAACAACAACACCGGCATCAGCAATCGTTTTAAGACTGCTCGTTCTCATCTGATCGCGTGCCATCCATCACGTATATCCCAAATCCTGGGTGCCCAGCTCCTTCTTCTCCGACAGTGCCCCCTTAAGGGTATATCTTCCTTGCCTGCAACGCGTATTTCGCACAAGTCCGGACGGATGGATGGAGGAAGGCAGGGTAAGGGAGGACGGATGAAAATAAGGTATGAGGGAGAGGGAGGAAGATAGAGTACGAGAGAAAGTAGCAGGAGTGGGGCTAGGACCAAATAGCACGTGGCAGAACCAGAATGGCAGATCGAGCGGGTGGACCCTAACAGGCGGGTCGGAAAGGCTGGCCCAGTGGTTGCTGAAGCGTGCGTCCTGCATGAATCGCGAGGAAGGTTGAGCGACAGCGCGACTCCCCCCAAAAAACGTAAAAGGAAATCCAAGCGAAAGCGTCCTTCCTGAGTGTCGAAGGCGCGGCGTCTGAAATAGATTGCGAGGAAGTCTCCTGCGAGAGCGCGATTCTTGCATACATTGTGAGGAAGCCCCGCGCGACAGCGCGATTCGGGAATGACTTGTGAGGAAGTGTCAGGTTGGAGCCGTTGAACTCCCACTATCGAAAAAAGAAGTATTAATCATCCCCCCCGGTGCACATTATATTTTTTCATTGAAGTGCCCCTCCTGGCGCTGGCACCCTGCTTTTTATAAGGAAATGTCTTCCTCCTCAAAATGTGTTGTTGGCCCCCCTGAGACTTCAACGGCTCCCGACTGAGACTTCCTCATCATTTAACCAGGACCCTTTCCCGCCCGAGACGTCCTCGCATTTCATTCAGGAATCGCGCTCTCGCTTGGTTTTCCTTACGATACATTGAAGAATCGCTCTCTCGGCGCTCTGGAGTCGCGCTCTCGCTGGAAGCTTGCTTGCAATTTACTCAAGAATACACCCTTGCGTTGGAATTTCCCGCAATTTGCTCAAACGCCGCGCTCCCGACACTCAGGTACCCAGGAGTCGAGCTCACGCTTAGGACTCCCTGACTTCCTCACAGATTATTTCGGAATCGGGATCTCGCTGCCCTTCTTGGCCCCGTTGCACCCCTTCGTGGCCCCCTCGCTGCCCTCCGTGGCCCCGTTGCAGCCCTTCGTGGCCCCATCGCTGCCCTTCATGGCCCTGTTGCAGCCCTTCGTGGCCCCCATCGCTACCCTTCGTGACCCTATTGCAGCCCCTCGTAGCCCCCTCGCTTTGTTTCGTGGCCCCGTTGCACCCCTTCGTGGCCCCCTCGCTGCCCTCCATGGTCCCGTTGCAGCCCTTCGTGGCCCCCTGGCTGCCCTTCGTGGCCCCGTTGCAGCCCCTGGTGGCCCCCTCGCTGCCCTTCGTGGCCCCGTTGCAGCCCTTCGTGGTTCCGTTGCAGCCCTTCGTGGCCCCCATCGCTGCCCTTCGTGGCCCCGTTGCAGCCCTTCGTGGCCCCCTCGCTTTGTTTCGTGGCCCCGTTGCAGCCCGTCGTGGCCCCCTCGCTGCCCTCCGTGGCCCCGTTGCAGCCCCTCGTGGCCCCCTCGCTGCCCTCTGTGGCCCCGTTGCCGCCCCTCGTGGCCCCATCGCTGCCCTTCATGGTCCCGTTGCAGCCCTTCGCAGCCCCCATCGCTGCCTTTCGTGGCCCCATATATGTATGCCCTTCGTGGCCCCCGCTTGTCGCACCCGTCGTGGCCCCATGTGCACGCCCCTCGTGTTCCCGCTGTCGCCCTTCGTGGCCCCCTCGCTGCCCTTCGTGGCCCCGTAGCTGCCTTCAGTGGCCCCGTCCTTGCCCTCCGCGGCCCAATCTGTGTATGCCCTTCGTGGCCCCCTCTCGTTCGCGCCCCTCGTGGCCCCATGTGCATGCTCTTCGTGGCCCCAGTTGCTACCCTCAGTGGCCCCGTCGTTGCCTTCTGTGGCCCCGCATTATCTGCCCTTCGTGGCTCCCGCTCTTTCGCGCTCTTCGTGGCCCTATACGCATTCCCTTCGTGTCCCCGCTGTCGCTCTTCGTGGCCTACTTCGTGCCCTTCGTGGCCCTGCTGTCGTTCTCTCTCTCTCTCTCTCGCTCTCGTTTTCGCTCGTCGTCGCCGTCGTCGACGTCGTCGTCGTCGTCCTGGTCGGTTCCCCTTCCGTCCTTCTAGGGGTCGGGTTGCCGCCGATCAGCGCTGCTGCTGGCCAGGCCGACGGTCCGCGGCCGCCCCGCCGCTTGCCGGGGCCCAGCCTGCAGGGAAGAAAGGTATACCCCTCAAAAGGGGTACGATCGGAGACGAAGAGAGCGGGTATCGAGGGTTTTGGAAATACGCGTTAACGGACATTCGAGCAGATAAGAGCAAATTGCCTTACCATGATTGTTTGTGTTGTTGTTGTTGTTGGCGTTGTAGTTCTAGTTCGGGGCCCAGCAATGTAGTTTGCTGCCGCTCCGAATTCCGTTGGGCAAGAACAGGGTGCGGGCCGCGGGAAGAGCATTTTAATTAGAGCATGTTATGTTTACCAGGGAGGGGGTCAACAACAATTGTTTTTGAGAAGTGAGAATTCAACAACAACATCAACAACAGCAGCAGCAACAACAACAACCATAACACCAGCACTAACAGCAGCAGCAACAACAACACGAGGAACACCAACAACAACAACAACACCGTCGCAACCACTGACAACAACATCAACAAACATCCAACAACAACAGCAGCAACAACACCGACGACAACAACAATCGCAATACCAATCACAATACCAATACAAAAAATAATTCGCACCGCGGGATCCTTTCTCGGCCACTCACCCAGGGACAGTGAGTGACCGTTCGGCCCCCTCGCTCTGATTCGTTGCCATAAAAAGAAGGGCCTTTACGAAAGACTCTTCGCGGTCACGAGGAGGAGGAGGAGCAGGAGGAGGAGGAGGAGGAGGAGGAGATAGAGGAAATTTGAACGCTTGGGATACTCGTGCTCCCATATTTGACAGGCGTGGGAGCCGCCAGCTGCGCTCGAGACCCTCGAGACCGCCGACCGACGGCACAGTCGCGACGTCTTGGAGCCGTCGTCCGCCGTGGAGGCCAGCTAGGCGTATGCGCCGCGCGTGCTGGTGCGTGGGTCGTGGCTGGCCCTCCTGGTCCACTCGGGCCCCCCCCTCTCCCCCTGTTCCTCATCTGTCTCCTCCTCTTCCTCACTCCTCTACTCCCTCCTGCTCCGCCTCCTCCTCGTCCCCTGGCTCGTCCTCCAGAGACATACGCGTGCAATTCCGGAGCTCCGCGCGTGTTTTTCAGATCGGCACTAGGCCCCCTGGCGGAGCCGTCTGGCGCCGCCCCTGGCGCACTCCGCCAGGGAGGGGGGTTACAGCGCCGAGCGCGGAGCTTCGAACATGTATGTTATTGACCCTACGTTTCCAGAAGAGGTTCAAGCAGCGGGGTTGGGCCACCCCTGTGCTGCAGCCTAGTCACTCCTGGGCTGAATGAATTAGCGGAACGGGAGTCGGCCATCATCATGGAAACGTCCAGGTGACGGCGGTTGTGGATGCGACCGGCCCGTTCTCGTCATCCTTCCCCTCCCTTCCTCCCCACATGCCCTTTCCTTGTCCGCTTCGCTCAATTCTGCCCTTCCTTCTCCTCCACTCCTTTCTCATCCCTTCCCAACTTTGGCAATCCGGTTCCTCGGCATTCGACCATGTTGGTGATCCCGTTTCTCGCCGGGTCATGCCAGTCGGCCACATCGGTGTGAAGTTTAAGTGGCCACCGAGTGTCGGGAATTCGGGGGACTTTCGTAGACTTGGTGTAAGACTGCGTACTTCAAAACATAATCGTCAAGACATATCACTGACTCTGCTCTGCATCGAAGCTTCGTGGGGTGACGAGCTAGTGTACATCAGGTAAGGGGGATGTTTCTTGTCGTGAACAAGGAAGAGGATGACGATGGAAGGGTGAATGAGGAAGGAGATATGGGGGATGGAGAAGATGAAGATCAACAGAAGATGGAGGAATATTGCGATGATGAGGTGGCGATGGAGGAAGGGCCAGCGAGCAGCTTCAGGACATTCGATGGGGAAGGGCTTGGCCCACGTAAGGGCGCCTCTGGGCGGGCGAGGCGGACGGACGAGGCGGCGGAGTTGGGGAGACGAGAATGACGAGGACCAGGTGGAGAATAGGCTGGTGCAGTTGGAGTCTTGCAGCTGCTTCTTTGAGTGATTTGAGGTGGGTGCTGGGGTGGGTGGGTGGGTGGGTGGGTGTTTTGCCCGACGGGAAGCGAGACGACGGAGAGGACACGAAAGGTCAGGACAGGGGAGGCCGAAGGGTGGGAAGCGGGGCCCACAAGAGGAGCATGGAGGGAAGCGAGGTGGTTCGATGAGATGGGCTGGCCGTCGTTGAGGCACTTTGGCCTCGAACGTGCCATGCTCCTCGTGCACACCCAGGCCGGTTGAGGCGATGGCCGCGCCACTGCACGGCGCCGGGCCGCACGCCAGCAGGCAGGTACTTTCGCGAGGAGGTCCCGCCCGTAAAGAGCGCCTGCACGGCCGCGGCGTCGCAGGGCCACAGGACCGCACGCGCAGCCGACGGGGCGACCGCCCGCGAGATCTGGACTGACCGGGGACGGCTGGCGACGGGCAGCGCACCCCGCGCCCGCCCCTCCTGCGGCGTCTGGCGCAGGAGGCCCCCCCACGACCGCCGGGCGAGGGGCTGTATGGCCACCCGGCCCCTGGGCAGGAATTGCCCTCGGGCGGGGCCCGCGCGATGCGAATGTTGTTCGCGCTGGCAACCCACGAAGCTGACGAAAAACACCGTCGGCCGGTTGAGGAAAACTCTCAAGGTTGAGACGTCGAGGACTACCCAGCCCCCATGACGAGACCACGCCCCACTACCCCGAAGTGGCGTTTAGGAAGTGGCTTGCCGCAAGTCGGCGCCTAACCAGGGCGGGCCGGCGGGCGGGGAACAAATGCTGACCCGAACACACACTTTCGGGGGTCCGCGCGGATTTCTCGGATCGGCGCTGGCGTCACTTGGCAACGCCTCCGGCGCCGCCCTTGGCGCGCTCCGCGCGCCAGGGATGGCGGTCTCGCGCCCATCGAAGAAAACAGCCCGGCCCTCCGAACTGGTATGTTGAATGATTTGTTCTTCGAGGTAGGTCCAGAGGGCGCCAGGCGGGGCCTCTGGGCGGGGGGGAGATGGCTGGGCGGGTTCTCCCCCTGCTGGCTCGACTTGTGCTGGTGGAGCCAGCTTCCCGGACACAGTGGGCTGCTGGCTGCCGCGCCCCGTTCGCTGCCAACGGCAAGGGGCTGTGGCCAGAGGGAGGAGAACGTTGCGCATACATCAAACCTCATAAGAGGAGAAGGTACCAATACATTTTTCCATTCCCTCATTTTCGCCCTCCAGGGCCTCCTGGGAGTGTCTCGTCGCCACGGCCGGGTTTGCCTCGACATGCGAGTCTGAACGCGCCCAGGGCGAGGTCCGGGGAGTAATTTGCGGTGTCGGTACCTTTTGAGTTCCCGGATGCCTGATCTCGGCGTTTCAAAGATAGGGTCCTGAGGGATGGGGTCCTAAGGACGAGGCGCATCCAATAACGCAAACCCACCTTTGGATCCGATGCCATCCTGAGGCCCCCATCTCTCAGGACTCCATTTTGGAACCACCGATGAGAAGGTCCACCCTGAGCACACGATTGGTGCACCTGCTGGGCGCGGGCCGAGAGTACTGCCAAGGAAGGCAGAAGCCTGGAGAGGTGCCGCGGTCGGCGTTGCAGAGGTGAGCGCGCCGATGTTCGGGCCAGATCCAGGGCCCCCCAGGGGAGCCCAATGCCATCGTGCTTCCCTTTGCTCGTCTCTGGGAGCAGCGCCGACGTCGAGGACGCATTCCCCCTCAGGAGGATGTCGCCTTCTCCTCCTCCTCCTCCTCCTCCTGCTCCTCCTCCTCCTCCTCCTCCTCCTGCTCCTCCTCCTCCTCCTCCTCTCCTCCTCCTCCTCCTCCTCCTCCTCCCGTAGCCATTTTGGCTCAAGGTTTTGGTTTCCCAGCGGAAACAAGTGGATACCGCTAGTCCGCGGCTAGACCCCAGTTTCTTCATCGCACCGCTGCGTGAGCCGCCCAGGCGCGCCTGGTCTGCCCCAGGATCGGGAACCGACACTCCAGCAGCAGCCATGGCGCCCAGGAGCTGGTGGCGCGACGCGGCGCCCTGGCGCGCGGGCCCCACTTGGAAGTTCACGGAGTGCGGATGCGGCAAAAACCTGGGGGGCTGGACGTGGTGCAAGCATTGCCAAGCACCCAGGCACGAGCCAGGGGACGCGGCCCTCCCAGCGGCGCAGGGGCGCTGGGCTGACCGCGCTGGCATGGCTACTGGGGGCAATGGTTCAGCGGGCCCTGGCGGCCCACACACTGAGAACGACGACACGAAGCTCCAGGAACGCTGCAAGGCCACGATCAACCGTCTGGCGGCAGGAGGACCCAATAAGTCACTGGAGCTGCAGCTGGCTGTCCAACATCTCCAACGCCCGCGACAAGCGCGCCAAGAAGCTCGAGTCCGCCCTGGACAAGCTCGACAAATGGGAACGAGAGCTCGGCGGCCAGAGGGACTGGGTCGCCCAGCTCAACGCCGAGCTTGAGGACTTCTACGTGCAGCACCCCAAGGTCCTCGCCCAGTTGCATGATCTTCACAAGGCCAAGGCCCCAGAGCAGCCCGTGCTCGCCTTGGGCGCGCTGCTCGATGGCACCTGCAGCAGCATCAAGATCGATATGGGCTCCCTCTTCGACCTCGAGGAAAGAGACATCACCAACGAGGACCGAGAGGATATCAGCAAACGACAGCGAGCACTGGAGGAACCAATCACAACCGTGACAAAGGAAGTCTTCGCCACGGCTGCTGAGCACGCGCTGTCCGTCAAGCAGCAAGGCCGAGAGCACGCGCAGCGGCTGGCCAAGAAGCGCAAAGGAGACAACGACAAGGGCCCCCAGCCTCCTGCGGCAGCAGCAGCAGAACCACCAGACCCAGCCAGCCAGCCTCAGACGAGCACGGCTCGAGGAGCTGCATCGGCGCAGCCTGCAGCGGAACTGCCCAGAAGGACATGCCCTTCTACAGATGCAAGCCGTGCTGAACTTCAGCGGCGCACCAACGAGACCCTTGCCAGGCGCAAGAAGGACAAGGTCAAGGAGAACAACGACCAGGCCCCTTCCGCAGGCGCCCAGCCAGCGGCAAGGGCCCGATCCGCCTGAGCCAAGGGCAGGCGGGGCGCCCTACCACTGCCCCGCACATCGAGCTGGACCTAGAGCAGCAGGACCAGCATGGAGTGCCAGATCCGTTAATGGCACATCCCCGAAGAGAAAAGGCGCTCTTGGGGACACGATCATCATCAAGACAGGGGCCTGGGCGGCAGGCGACTCCGACCCAGAGGCGAATACGGAGGTCAACGGCGACAGGGGCACCTGCGTTGGCAACTACAACATACAGCGAGGCTATGCGAGGCGAGGGCTGGATCAGCCGCCAGCACAGAAGACGCGGACCCTCGGCCCCCGAGCGGTCGCGGCGCCCATCGAGAACGACGGTGAGAGCATCGACTTGAGCGGCGCCCAGCTCACGCAGGGCGCAGACGACGAGCGGGAGACGGGCACCATCCACGGGCTGAGCTTAGAGGAGCTGCTCAGCCAGGTCATGGACCAGGACCCCTCCTTTGGGGCAGAGGCTGTTGCGCGAGAGGATCACGGTCTCACGCAGCCCTCGCCCATCGTGCGACAAGGAGGTGGGGCTGGAGCCGCCCCAGACCACAGCAGGGGGGGCGGCGTTGGGTGCGCGCGGGCAGCCGCGGACGCGCGGGTGGTCGGAGCCTCCCGCAGCACCCAGCTCACCGCCGACGCCTCCGACGGGCGGGTGGCCGAAGCCGCCCGCGGTTCGAGCACCGCCCCCCAACGCGGTTAGGGGGCCTCCCAGAGTGCTCCCACCACAGGTGGGCCCCCCCACTTCAGAGGGCGCAGGTCAGACGCCCCCGACGCAGTGCTGCAGCCTGCGCCTGGCCGCGGGTCCCAGCCCCTGTGGGCTGGGGAGAAGCGTGCACCCAGCTAGCTGGCCCAGGAGCAGCCTGGCGTGGAAGGC